TTTTCTGCGAGCTGCCGATGCCAGCCGTATTGCATCGTGTTTTTATCTCGTCGATGTGTTAGTGCACCCATACCCGTTTCTCCCTTCGTGTTCATCTGGCTGCGTAAACGTTGTCACCTCGTGCCCGTCGCTATTTATAGGACGCTTCGACAACGCTTATTAATAGGGGGCCGACTTAACGCCTTCGTTAATTGTGACTTATGTTAGCACGCGAACTCTTGACACTCTATCAGTGGTTTGCGCAGATTTTCAAAGCGCCACTGGCGTCCTTTCAATAATGTCATCTACGATTTTAATCGTCGATCTCGTTCTCCACCTCGAATGTCGATCAAATTTCCCATACTTTCAAACAGATCTCCCATGTTTTATCCTATCGATAGAATCCAACAACGACGAATTCTTTCTATTCTTCCGACATATTCGACGTATCTACAAAGTTCGATTGAAAGCGTGCAAATTGTTGCTAACCCTCGTTAAAACGCTCCAACCTCCTAACAAGTTAGGTTCTAATCTTCGAAGCGGACAACTTACGATTTCGAAACATCGTAATTAATTACATCGATTTCTTGTGAAATATCGTTACGGTAACGACACATCTAACTCGCTAGCCAACTAGAATCTAATAGATTATTCGTATCGTTGGCCGTGTAAGTTGCTATGCTTTTTACAAAATTCTATCAGGCGCTTTCTTAATGGTTCTTAATAGCTAGGGGCTTAACGATCGATTATCGGATCAGATCGAAATCGAACAACGCTTTCGAAGGACGCTCTTCGATGGTCGTACCAAAAGTTTGTAGAAAAAAAAAGCGAAAAATAAAGGAAAAAAGCATGTCCGTACCTTTTGATTTGTGTTGATCGTCTTGGGAAGGTTCCTTGTGAGCCTGGATTTTCCCTATCAACAATTCCAGTCTCGAACTGTTACCCTTGAACAACATTTTGGTCTTTCGCGTGTTCAGGAAAACCTCGTGTACGAATGTTCACCGGCGATCACCATCACAATCGATACGATCGATGCGTTTTAATCGATCCGAGAAATTTCATACGAATCGATAGAGAAATACTTTGTTCGTTTTAACGAAGTATCGAATCGATCCGAAATTATTGATTCCGTCGCGTGGATCTAGATACATACTTGTCACGAATCTTGAGGGCCTTACGAAACTTTAACGATCGATACCGTTTACGACGGAAACTTTTTCAAGTTCCGACGAGTCCTCGACGAGTCCTCGACGAGTCCTTCTCGAGTACTCCGAGACACCGTTCTCCTGGTGATTAGCGCGAGGCAGGGATAGGGGGAGAAAAGAGGTCCGACGATGTCGGTTGGTTTCGTGCGCGAAACGATCTCACAAAAATCCTGCAACGATTCACTGTTGTCGGTGGTTCGTTCTTTGAAAACGACGCAAGCTCTCTCTCTCTGTTTCTGTTCCTGTTTCTCTTGGAAACGTGCTCGGGAGAGATCCGCGCAGAGGATCCTGTCGCAGGACGATCGATCCGACCCCGATAGTTCGATCGCGTCGACTGACGGATCGGCCGATGGATCGCGACGGCGAACAAGCGGGTTAAGCGCGACCGAGCGAAGCGGAGAAGAACACTCGAGCGTGTAGCGCGCACTAAGTAAGTCGGGAAGCTAGCAGTAAGTAAGTAAGCAAGTAAGCAAGCAAGCATACCTATTATCGCGCACGATGCAAAGCGAACACGAACATATCGCGACACTACGACACACCGAGTCCTCCTTCCGAAAGCGAAAGAGTGCCGTACGTGGGGCGAAGGAGAAGGGACCACAAAAGCCGCTCGTGAGAGGCTACGGTGTCCCCTGGGAAACCAGCCACCGTATTGGACGGTAGGCGGGATCCTACACTAACGAGTACACCCACCTTCCGGCTACCTCTCGCACCTATTTAACCTTTCGTCCGACAACCTAATCCACCTATGTGCCCTTACGTGGCCAACGTTACCGACCTAACGCGATACTTTGCTACCGGAACCTTTCCGCCTAACCTCTTCCGATCTTTTGCTCCCCTTCTGTCTCTTTCGTCTACCTTCGCTGTCCGTCGCCACGGATATCGAAATAGACGGAACGTTCGCGCTAACAACGACGAGGATCTATCTACTCTATTACGCCGTGTACTTTGTATAATACGCCGACGGCCTAATTTTCTTCGAACCTATTTTTAGGGTTCACCAGCGGGGTTTCGATCAGGAACGCTGCACCGCGTCGATCGAAGGTGTGCCACGCGAGAAACATTCGAAAACGCGCGAGGGAAAGAAAAGAAAAAAAAAAAGAAAAGATGGAGCGAGGGAAAGAGGTCGAGAGCGAAATTCAAAGTTAGACCCCCTGCAACCCCTGTGAAATCGACTGGAATGGATTCTCACACACCGTTGGAGCTCTGTGCCACCTTATGGGGGCAACAGAGGAGACCGACTCCCTACGGCCTACGGTTCTTAGGGCTACCGTGGTCCTTAGGGGATCCATAAGGTGTGCCTGCAACCCGTTTTCGAAACGCGAGCAGAGCGCCCACCCATCGCGATTATTTACCTCGCCGCGATCCTGTGCATTGCTTTCAATTATTCGTTTATTCGAAATCGAACGTTTTTCCGGGTATTTGTAGGTGTTATCGGGTAACTATTAGTTTGATCGTTGACCCTGTTACGTTTTTACGACGGACGAAGGAGAAAAAAGGTGCAAGGATCGGACGTGCGTGCCTCGAGGCTCAAGGACTCGAGAGAGAGGCGATCTCTAATGGCAAAGTCTCTCTCCTTTTTGTCTCGACTGTTTCGCATCGCTGCAGTCGCATAGTTCCCGTCTCGGTGTCGAATACGGGAGGATTCGGTCCACTTGCGGTCCACTCGCGTACGCGACAAAAACCGGTGGAATCGTTCGACGAAAACTCGATAACGCTCTCGACGATCTCGCGTCGTTACGTCTTGTTTTGTTCGTCTGCCCTCCGCGGGCAAACGTTAGGTTATCGAGCCGATCATTTTCCCATTAGGATATATGTATGTACGAGTACGTATAGTTCGAGGAGGAAAATCGTGTGTATACGAAATTGAAAGGATCGGCAATGCGCGAGTGTCGTTGGTACGGTGATTGTGGGTGGCTCCTTAATAAGGCGCATGTGCGCGTTTCCAGTGTTTTCGTCACGATCGACTCCGCCTACGACGCGTCGCGACGCGTTCGATGCAACGCGTTCGTTTTCCCTTTTGGCTCGTTCACAAAGGAACTCCTTCTCCCCGGAGATGAATCGCGTCCACCCACGTTTAGGCTGCGTCCACATCACGCGGCTTCTCTTCCCTTCCCTCCCAGCACGCGCTAGTGGCACGCGCTAGCGGATTTCATTCATGCTTTCCGTGCTCCTCCGCGTCCGCTTCGACACGATTTCCTTCGAATATTCCCCAGGATTTAACGGATTTGATCGGCAACGGATCGACGACGAGACGATAGAAAGCGTCTCCGATCGTCTGAAATGACGGTACAGAAATCGTGGCTGTTAAAGCGTCGCGTTGGGATGCTTGCGTGAGAGCGTCTCAATCTAATAAATTCACGAAGAAACGTCGTCCGCGTTCTCACAGTTGCTCGTGGAATATCCGAGTAATCTCCACCGCTTCCGTGTGATCTCTCGACCGCAAATCGGGAATACCTTCGCGGATTCATCCTCCCGTTCGCGCAACGAAACGTTTTTTTGCCGTTTTCTTCTTCTATCATTAGCCCAATTATATCGATCGAAAAAAGATACTGCTAATCTCTTGGATAGTTTAGACAATCGGAGCTACTCCGACGAGAAGACAATCGTTCGTTTCGAGTTCGTTCCGGTAAATATTTGTCGATGAACGAAGAAAATTGGTCGTCGCGCGGTCTAGAAATTTGTCTCGTACTTTGCTCGCCGTAAATTGCTCACCGGCAAACAAATTCATTCAACGACCGAAACATCTGTCGAGATATCGAACCGATTACGAGCGGCGAATCGTTTCTTTCTTCGGTGTTTGTTCGAGCGCGATAAATTTGAACGAGTAACACGGAAAAGTCGTGTTTTCTTTTCAACCGGATGCGCTGTCGCGCCGATAACGTTGCGAGAACTAGCCTCGAACAATTATCTTCTAGATACGATTCTTTATCTTTCGATTAACCATCGTCGTGTTCGATCGAGTGGAAACTTTTTTCTCTCGCTTTCGATCCGTTTCTATCTAGAGAATCCGAAAAAAGGATACACCGGTTATGGCAATCGTGGAAATAAATCGTATCAAAGTGTCTTTTAGCGACCGTTTCGTTTGTTTTCGAGCGAAATGCAAATTCGAGTTAATGGTAAAGCAACTTCCGGTCAAGGAACATAAACTTCTCGAAACTGTCTCGACAATCCCGAGAAACGCAGAGACCGGTAGTTGTTACTCTCTTAGGGTACTTCCGGTTTAACCGTCTGAACGTAATCGTTCTCGCGATAATCCTACCGAACGCGAAATTTCATAAACGATGTACATAAGTAATCGATCCGCTTGAACCGTGCCCCTGCGAATACTGCTACGTTTCGAAATAATTTTCGAATTCTATCAGCCGATAAAGCGCCGTCGATCGTATTCGCAACGAGCGTTTTTTTCCTCTTTACGAATCTCCGAAACGAGTACGTTTTTTATTCGAGCGGTATTTAAATAATATAATAGTAGAAACGGTGATAAAGCGTCGAAAGGCAAGAAACGAAAGTTACGTTCTCTGGGTACGATAAATTTAAAGGCATTTCGCGTAAGAAGGGGTAAGTTTCCGGTTCGGTGGAGGGTAAGTTCAGCTTCTCGAGTCAGGAAACAACCTTCTGACCGGAAGTGGCTACCCGAGTAAACGGTGCACCCTAGACGCGGTTTATCTTAACCGCCATCTTCAGGATCAAAGAACCTAAACACCCTCGTCTTAAGTCGCGTGACCATTAGTCCAAAGGTTTACGACTTTTGCTTAATGGACAACAGTTTCTTCGTACGAACAGATTTCGTTTCCGAAATTATTTTCCTTTCTTCGATCGCTATCATTTCCCCAGAAATTAGACGAACGTCGCGAAAATAAAGTCATTTTTTCAACTACCTTTCGTTTCGCAACGAAACGACGTATACGCGTGTACGATCGGTCTGTCTGGTGTAATTAAAACTCACGAGTACTTTCCAAGTAATTGCCTCGACAATATCTTCGATCTCTATCAGCGTTTTCTCCTAATCTCCCGATAATCTACCCGATGACGCATCGTTAATTACTTCCCGATTCGTAAATTTTCCTGGCTACTTTTACGATCTTTCGTAAATTTCAAATTAATTTACCGGCGGTGTTGGAAGAGAGCGGCCCGTAGAATGTCCGATAAAGCGTTTCGGAACATTTAAATCGCGTTTATTCGAAAAAATGGCCGATACGTGTCGGTATCCTACAGAAGCTTAATCTCCGTGTAATTTTCATCCGGGTTGTCGAGGTTTTTGGAGCAGGTCGCTCTTCCAAAGTGTGACTGGCAGTTTTTCAAATTTCCTGCTCCGGCGTATCGAATAGTTTCAGCTGGAGGTCTCTCGGGGAATCGGACGATTTTCTAAGCGAACAAATTAGTTTTCTCTCGGTTTCGAGAAGCTATCTCTGGACAACTCGAAAATTCCGGTAGCGATCCTTCGAGAGATCGACCACCCTCCGAGCTCTCTTCCCTTACCGTCTTTCTACGAAAAATTAGTATCTCTTATTATTTTTCTTTCTCTTTCGTTGGAAAGTCGTTGTCCGCGGTTTTTCGCCTCGAGAAGCGTACCGTCGTCGAGACAGTCAGTCGTTAAACTGCTTGTGATCGAAATATTTAACGGCTCCTGTCCGGAGGAAACGTCGTCGAATATTTCGAGATACGAAATCGAAATCGATCAAGGATGAAAACGATGCGAGTCCAGTTCTCGAGCGATTCGCGCGAGTGATTTTCGATTTTAACATCGACGCGAGACGAGCTCATTTATTTTTTCGTAACACCTCACCTTACGCTCGTAAGGTAAGGTAAGGTAAGGTAAAATAAGGTTAGGCAAAGCAAGTTAAGGCAAGGAGGAGCAAGCACCCCGCGTCAAGTTTTTGTCGGTCGAATCGAGAAAACGCGTACAGGTTCCGACCGCGAAGAGGTCAGACAGGTGAAGCCTTAATTCGTTGGGGGCCGGCTTGGTATCAAAGAGAGGACCGCCAGGATTCCCTGGACTCCGGAGTCTGGAAGATTCAACGAAACCGCCATTAAGGCCCACCGAACCGTTCACTCTCGTCTGCATTTCGCTCGATCACTCGTGACCGAACGGAACGAACGTTCGTCGAGTGTCTAATAATACCTCCGAGCATAGTTAACCGATACTCGAAGCGATCCAACGGAATAATCGATGATCGATCGACACTCTCAACGTCTATATACGAATACAGTAGGAATCCTTGTGGAGGAAGCGTTTCTGGTCTAGCGGAGTTAAATCGACGCGGTAGCAGGTGTCGGGTTATATAGCAGCCGATTCTTTGTCGGATACTTCCAGTTTCTTCGCAGACCCCGATGTTCGGGCACCGTGAACAAACAGCTGATCGAGACTTTCGACAGACTCCGACGATCTCGAGTCGAGAAGGAATCGAGAAGGAATCGAGGAGGAATCGAGGAGGAATCGAGAGGGAAGTTTTCCAACGATCGAAATTTTCTATTTTTCGACGTTGACTCGAGCGAAGAATGGATTCGTCTTGGAATGGTTTCGAGGACAAACAAGACCACACCGACGTATCGCGAATAACCGAAAGAAAAGAAAAGTCGAACGCGTAGCGGAAACGTTCTTTTTACGGAAGAATTTTTGTTGTCGCGGAGAAGCAAGAGGGTAGAATAGGTAGAAACGGGACACGGAGAAGTCGAAGGTTAACAAGAGAACTTTGTCGGCTTTAACGTCGCAGCACGGTGGCTCGATACTACTTGTTGCTTCGGCTACGTACTTACGTACAGTTTGCGCGGCAATTTCCTCGGCGAGATCACCGCGAGAGGCCATCGTAGATAATCGAGGGTAAATTCTGTTAAAATTCGAAAGAACGGTTGCGCTTCGTCGACGATGTATCAGCCGAGAATTTATCGTAGCTCGGGATGGTTCGAGAGCCCTCGCGATAGGTGGCACGAAAAGGTGGGTGCCTAAATCTCAGATTACGATCTGTGGTGTACGGTAGTTAAAATTTAAGGGCCTGTCCGTGTACGCGCGCGAAGGATACACGCGCGGAATCAACGAGAAAATAACGAAAGAAAAAGAGCGCCGTTCGGGAGCAGCGTGAAAAGGGAGGACGCGTTAGCGGGCGACGCGACCGTGAAAGGAATCCGTGAAAGAAAAGAGATAATGATCGCTAAAGGGAAGAAAGAAAGGGAAAACGGGTAATAAATAAGAAGAAAAAGGGACGAAAGATAAGAGGAAAGAGGTAGAAAGAAGATAGAAAGAAGAAGAGACCCGGAGAGATTAAGATGTCACGTGCATGCCGAGGGACAAATACGTTCCGTAAGAACGTGCACGTAAGGTCGTGGAGCGAGCCGATTCAACCTCTCTCCGAGTTCCACGGTAACGCGGAATCGAACGTGTCGTACATGGAGAGAAAAGTATATACGTATGTCGAATTTCCTTCGGAGTATCGAATAAACTTTGCTTCGGATACCAAAGATCGATATGTAAGGATTCGTACACGCGAACGATTAATTTTGTCAGCGAGAGGAGGTATTTCGCGAGTTCGAGAACGAACGAATCTCGTTTTCGGGCAAAGTTCGGGAGGCCGAGGAATCGGAGACCTCCTGTCGCGTCACACCGTCCGTTCGGTGTTTTCCGACACCCACGTATCCTCGAAAATAAAGCGGAACCTTATTCATGAATATGAATAAGACACGGAACAGTACCGCGAAATCTTCCTTTCTTTGTGCACCTCCTCTCTTTTTTTTTTCATCTTTCTGCCTCTCTCTCTCTCTCTCACTTTCTTTGCGAGGTTAGCGCACGAGTAACGTGGTACGCGATTCGTCAGATTAAATAAAGAATAGATCGAGATCGATAAGCGAAGCGGATTGTAACAGATCGATAATAGGAAATCAGCGTGAAACGTTGGCGCGGTTAAGTCACGTATTTCCGTGGGAGCAGAGCGAATCGTATGGAAAGAGAACGAGGTGACAAGACAAAAGATAGAAGAAAGAGTTCCTCCACGGAGTGTGAGAATAACTCGACTCGGTTATTGCTATTTCTACTCTAGCTTTTTACTCTGGTTAGTCTAGTCGGGCTAGACTGCTCGTTAGAAATAAATATACGACCGAGCGTGCAAAATCGATCGAGTATTTACGACGACGGGACGCGAAGATAGCAAGAGGGATTAGAAAGCGAAGAAAAGTTTGGCTTCTGCACGTATGTATAATAGGTTTCGATTCGGAATAAAGGAAGCAACTGCGCGCGATATACGCGCGTTTACTTATCTTTTATCCAGGCACGTTGATTATCGATGCGAGAGCGGACCGATGGAATACTCGGAGAGAATAGCAGGACGACGTCGAAGGGGGTCAGAGGATGGATCAGCATATCATCTTAAAGTTTAATTGAGTCTTGGTCCCAAGAGAAGCGAGCATCGGAACCAATCTTACTCGACGCGGGCCCACGGGAGATCGGGTCCACCGTATCTGCACCCTTCTTCGCTCTTCTCCTCCTCTCCGACGACTCTAAGAGACAGGGGTCTCTTAAGTCTGGTGCGCGTCGTTCGAGTAAATTGTTCGAGGCATGCAAATAATACGCGCGAAACGCGTACATTCCTCGACGATATATGTACAAGAAAGAAAGGAAGAAAGGAAGAAAGAAAGAAAGATTCGGTTATCTTCTTTATTAATCCGAAATTTAGCGTTCGTCGGATCGTCTATCGTAACGACTAGGCCTCTACATATAGTAGATAGACATTTCGAAGCGGTTGCAGGAAATTCGATGATGCCGAAGTAAACCTTGGCTGAAGGATAACGGCGAATAAGATACGCGTCTGGAGTCGAAAATTAACGCGAGACGAGGCACGACTTGATTCTCCCTGTTGGTCCCTCAGGGGGAAACTTCCGTAATTCATCGCAAGAGGTTTCTCGTCCTCGAACCCTACCACCTTCCACGGTAACGGAGTCGAAACGAGCAAGCTCGAGTTGCCGAATTACTTGTAAATGTTTAAACTTCTTCGTACCTTGGTCGTCTCGCTCGTTCCCCTGCTCGAAATTTCGCTCGACCGATTTCTTTTCTACGAATATCTACCTATCGTAATAATCGAACGGTGCCGGTTAAATCGTAGTAGGGGACACGCGCGCTTCGAAACTCGTACCGCGGAAATTCGAAGATCCGAGCGGAGAATCTCGATTAGAGGGGAGAAAATACCGAGCAACTAGCCCACGGACGCCGGATGGTAGCCGTAATTAGGCTAATTAACCGAAACCGAGCTACCCCGAAGGCATGCTCGGGGAAGCGGTCGAAAAGGGTCCCGGAATCGATGATTCCGCCGGATGTTCTAAAGTTTCCAGGAAGGGTAGGCAGAGATCGTCGTTCGAGAATCGTTCGGTCGGCGGCCACGGCCGGTAGGTTTCGCTCCATTTCGCGTGCTGCTCCGTTTGCCGTCTATGTACCTCTATGTTCCTAAGGGTAAGGGTTCTCCTGGTATCGGATGTCCGAGCACACGACAATGGGCCCTGTACCACCAAAATCAGTACCGCCCTTTCTTCGTACCTCACCCCCGGTCACCCTTTTTTCGCCGAACGTCCGCGTACAACGACGGGGGAAGAATAAGAAAAAAGAAAAAAGAAAAAAGAAAAAAAAAACGAACGAAACGAAACGAAGGAAAAAAAGAGAAAAGGAAAAAGAACGGTCGAGGCCACGAGATTTAATATAATATAGAATGGATATCCTGTCCAGGCAGAAAGAGAGAAAGAGTCGATGGGGTCCGTGCGTTGTCCCCTTTTCATGGCTATTAGGTGGTACCGTAACCCGATATCTTTCGCGGCAGCGAACGGGGATAAAACTAGGTACGGGAGTAAACGCTTACCCCGTTCCGAGCATCGATCGATTCGCGATCTTTCGGGGTACTTTTCGAGATGTTAGACGCGAATCTCTGTTTTGACTTAATTAAACGGCTGAAGGGAGAGCAAGAATATCGGGAAATCGGGGAACAAACTTGCTCGATTTCGGAACAAAGAAATTTCGATCGGAGAAAACGGGGACTATGTCTTGGAGCATTCGAGAGCGCTTTAAGGGGTTTGGTGTGTTACAGGGGCGGTTTATTGTGGCCCACCCTTTGTACACGTTTCTATAACCCTTGACAAGATGATTGGGATATCTGGTTTCTCGCTTGCAGGTGAATGCGCGCCGCCCCGTTTAAACTTTGAAAAAACATCGATTTTCTTTTTATTTCGCGGCAATTATCGCGTTCCTTGCACGGAACGATCGAGTTCGTTTGTCCGTCCGACGCGACGCGACGCGACGCGACGAACAACCGATGATCTTTAAAAATAGCCAACGTATACTTGACAAAGAAATTTCTTTCGGAAGATCGCGACCAGCGAGAGTCACGATTAAAGAATGATCGCTCGATTCTAATATTTCGAACCGGTAAGATAGGGCGGTGCCGTGCTAAAACGCGAAGATCGTCGGTAGTATCGCGTCCAAGTATCCTGCGGTATACGCGCGTGCTATATCCA